AGCAAGCCCATGAGACTTGGGGTACAAGTAGAAATGATGCAAACGTGAAACTTAGGCTGCCTGCTGTGCTGGAGTAAAGTCTTTTGACTCTAATCCAGGAAGCTGCTATCTTTTGTCAGCATCTGCCAGCAAGCTAATCTGTTGGCTTGCAAATAGGGTGACATCTCAGGTCTGTCACAGTTCTTTATGTCTACTAGCCTCACGTGGCTATTTCTTTTTTTTTTTTTCTTTCTTTCTTTTTTTTTTTTTTGAGATGGAGTTTCACTCTTGTCGCCCAGGATGGAGTGCAGTGGTGCAATCTTGGCTCACTGCAATCTCCAACTCCTGGGTTCAAGCGATTCTCCTGCCTCAGTCTCCTGAGTAGCTGGGATTACAGGCGCGTGCCACCATGCCCGGCTAAGTTTTGTATTTTTAGTGCAGACAGGGTTTCGCCATGTTGGCCAGGCTAGCCTCGAACTCCTGACCTCGCAGCTCGCCCACCTCGGCCTCCCAAAGTGCTGGAATTACAGGTGTGAGCCATCTCGCTCACCCGCTATTTCTAATTAAACGTATATTTTAAATTTAAAATACAAGTCCTCAGTTGCACTCATTAATTAACTACTTAATGCCACTAATTAAATTAATTGAATTAATTAAAATTGAATATAATTTAAAGAACAGTTCCTCAGTTGCACCAGCTAAATTTTAAGTGCTTAACAGCCTCATGTGGTTAGCAGCTACTGATCTGGGCAGTACCAACATAGAGCATTTCCATCATTGGGAAAGTTCTATTGGAGAGTGCTGACCAAGAAGTAGAGAGCACAGGGTCTGGGCCAGACTGACTTGCATTAATCCTTGTTCTATTCCTCACTGGCTTTGAGACTTTGAATAGGTTATTGTACCTCGCTGAGTTTCAATTTTTCATCTATAAGATGAGAACAACAGGACTGACCTGATGGGGTCCTCGTGAGGCTCACACAAGACCACACATACAAAGTGATCTGCCCATCTTGGGGAGGTGGCATGGGCTCCCTAAATAAGAACAAATATTTTTAGGTATTGAGCAAATAAATGGCAGATCTCCTTTGTATTACAGTGGGAGATGGTGATGGGCAACCTTGAAAGATAGGATTGGTTGGAAGAAACTTGGCAAACCGCGGCTGGGCACAGTGGCTCACATCTGTAATCCCAACACTTTGGGAGGTCGAGGTGGGCAGATCACCTGAGGTCAGGAGTTCGAGACCAGCCTGGCCAACATGGTGAAACCCCTGTCTCTACTTAAAATACAAAAATTAGCTGGGCGTGGTGGTATGCATCTGTAATCCCAGCTACTCGGGAGGCTGAGGCAGGAGAATGGCTCGAACCTGGGAGGTGAAGGTTGCAGTGAGCCAAGATTGTGCCATTGCACTCCAGCTTGGGGGGGACAAGAGTGAGACTTTGTCTCAAAAAAAAAAAAAAAAAAAAAAAAAAGAAACCTGGGCCGGGTACAGTGGCTCACGCCTTAATCCCAACACTTTGGGAGTCCGAGGTGGGTGGGTCACAAGATCAGAGGATGGAGACCATCCTGGCTAACATGGTGAAACCCTGTCTCTACAAAAAAAAAAAAATTACAATAAATAAATAAATAAATAGAAATAAAGAAACTTGGCAAACTGCAGAGGGATCTCAAAACCCAGGCCTATAAGTTGGGCCTTGACCCAGAGATATTTGGGAGTCTCAGAAGATTACAGGCAGCGGGAAGGAAAGACGGGAATCCAAGAATTCCACATAAGACACGTGTTCTAGACTCTGGAGTCCAGGTCATTTGGTGTTTGAATCAGATGCCAGGTGACAGTAGGGAAGACCAATGAGTGAGCTTCCATGCTGTTGGGGGAAGATGCATTCTCAAAGCCACTACTCATCAGTAGGGGAAACCATAGGCTAGGGTTCCTTGACTTCCCTCTTCGCTCCCTGAATTCCTGCAGTGCTTGCTGGGGCTGCCTGGAGAAAGAGAAAGAACAGGAAGGCACAGTCTCCTGATGCGTCCTCTCCCCGACCCACGCCCATGGAGATGGTGGGGAAGAGCACAGGCTTTGGCCCAGGAGGTTGGCTTTGAGTCCTGGCACTGCCATTCCTAGCTGTGCGGTGCGGGGATGGGATTTCACCTCGGCCAGCCACGGCTTCCACCTTGCAGGCACTGGCATTACAAGGCCCATTTCTCGGGGTTGCTGGGAAAGTTAGATGAGATAATATAGGCCAAGTTTCTTGAAGAGTTCCTGGCACATTGTAGGGACATGAAGAAAAGAAGACTTATTGTGTGTTTCTTCTCCAGGCCGGCCCAGAGGACGAGCAGGAAACCTGAGCGGCGTGGAGGGCAGGGGATGGTAATCAAGAACCGCTGGACTTTCCTTAGGTAGCAAATTACGCCCAGTGACCCTCGGAGCCACTTCACCTGGAAAGGCAGGTTTCAGGTTTTCATTTCCTTAGCTGGGGTCAGGCTACCTGGAAGGTGCTGGGTCCCTGCAGGGTAGATGCTGCTGGCACTCTGCCCAGGGGCCTCTTCTGGCTGGGCCACCACCCCTCAGCTGCTGTGACTATTGGCTGCTGACAGCTCGCAGCTGTCCCTTGATCCAGAGAACTGCCTCTGGCCACACAGGAGCTGCCTCCCCTGGGAGGTGCCCACCCTCTCACCCCCCACACCCTAGGCAGCCCACAGACAATGACGGAGGGACACGGGGTTACACAAGGTTGGCCTCCTTTGCCTTTTCCTTCGGTTTCCCCCGCTGATGGTAAGTACTAGAGTTGAAAAAAAATGCACCTTTCCCCAACAGCATGGAAGCACGCTCATTTCTCTTCCCTACTGCCACCTAGAGTCTGAGTCAAACACCAAACTACCTGGACTCCAGAGTCCAGAACACGTTTTCTTATGTGGAATTCTCGGATTTCTGTCTTTCCTTCCTGCTGCCTATAATCTTCTGAGGCTCCCAAATGTCCCTGGGTCCAGGCCAAACTTTTAGGTTTGTGGGACAGTCTCATGGTGCAGTTTGTGCTCTGGGATTGGCCATAGTATCTAGCTGGGAGTATATCCCTGCTCAGCAGCTCCCCTGCATAGCCCTGTGTCCCCCATCCTTTCCCTGGAACACTTCCTCTGCAATCTACATGCACGGAGTCCCAGACTCAGGCCCTGCAGGGAGGAAACTGAGAGCCCTGTTTGAGGCTGATCTCCGCAGCGACTGTAAGGAAGAGACAACCTCAGACGCAGGGCACTCGCTCAAATTCAGAGACCTTCTTCAAGAGCTGGGAGGATCCTCAATAACCACTGGGTCCAGACTCTTGGCTTCTGTGAGGAACCAGAGCTATTGGTCATTTAGTAGAGACTTGTTAGGTCCCTAGAATGTTCCAGGCTCTCTTTGGGATACGGGAGATACAATGAGGAGTGAAATATATAGTCCCTCTCTCTGAAAGCTTGTGTATCATACAAAACGGTGCAGATAATGGTAAATGCTTTTACACAAAACCCCATGGGACTTGGAGGCAAGCAGAAACGACACAAGTATGAAACTCAAGCCGGCTGCCCGCTGTGCTGTGAGTAATGAAGTCCCTCGTCTCTGATCCAGGAAGCTCCCGTCTTCTGCCAGCATCTGTCAGCAGGCTAATTTGTCAGCTTGCAAATAGGGAGACATCTCAGGCTTGTCACAGTTCTTTACAGTTACTAGCCTCATGTGGCTATTTCCAATTAAAATTAAATTTTAAGTTTAAAATGCAGTTCCTCAGATGCACTCATTAATTAACTAATTAGTGTTCCTAACTAAATTAGCTAATCAATTAAAATAATTCCCTAATTCACTAAAATTGAATGAAATTTAAAGCACAGTTCTTCAGTGGCACCAGCCAAATTTCAAGTGCCTAGTAGTCTCATGCAGTGAGAGGCTACTGAACTGGACAGTACAGATATTGAACATTTCCGTCACTGGGAAAGTTCTATCAGAGAATACTGGTTGTACAGTTGAGGCACAGGGTGTAGGGCCAGACAGAAGTGGGCTCTACCCTTGCGTTTCACTTGCTTCGAGACTCTGAGTGAGCTATGGAGCCTCTCTAAGGTTCGTCGGTAAAATGAGAACAGGACTGACTTCACAAGGCTCCTGTGAGGATCACAGGACACCACTGCAAGTGACAGGGCATGGGGCACCGGGGAACCGTGAGACTGAGCTCCTGAGTGAGCCACTTGCAAACACCAGGTGAGGAGAGTGGAGCTCAGGTGGAGGGACATGCCAGTGGGAGATCACAGGGTGGAAAGGAGCTGGTGGTATTCAGCCAGTGTGGGGAGTAAAAGGGATAATTTTACAGGACGAGGTCAGTGAGGGAAGCAGGGCAGATCATGTCCCTCTGGAGGGCAGTGACTGTAACCCAGCAAATTAGTGAAGGAGGGTCAGGCGCCGTGGCTCACGCCTGTAATCCCAGTCCTTTGGGAGGACAAGGCGGGTGGATCAACTGAGGTCTGGAGTTCGAGACCAGCCTGGCCAACATGGTGAAACTCCATCTCTACTAAAAATAAACAAAATTAGCTGGGCCTGGTGGCACATGCCTATAATCCCAGCTACTCGGGTGGCTGAGGCAGGAGAATCACTTGAACCCAGAAGGCAGAGGTTGCAGTGAGCCAAGATCACGCCATTGCACTCCAGCCTGGGCAGCAAGAGTGAAACTCCATCTCAAAAAAAAAAAAAAAGCAATGGAGAATGGCTCTTCACACTTCTCCTCTCTGGAAACTTCCCCTGGTTTCCTGCTGTCCCTGAGAAACTGCATCACACACCTGTATTCAGTGGACTTCCCAGGTTAGGTCTTTCAAAAAAGAGATTTCAACACCTGAAGATGAATCCTCGGGAATAAGCCAATTAGTGACCTTTTGAACACCAGCTCCACTTCCCAAAGTGCTTCTCTGGGCACAATGTGCGGGCAACTATCAGATACGAGGCCAATAAATACGCCATCGCCCCTTCACCTCACACCTGCGGAACACAGGCTACAGGAGGCTCAGAGAATACCTGCTGAACATCATTAGAGAGGAACTGCGGCAGAGAGAGCTTTCAGAGATCGTCTGCACGTATCTGAAGAGAGCAGGTCCACTACGTACACGCCGGGCAATTCTAAACCAGTGCTGAAGCATTTGGACCCTCAGACTTCTCCTCTGTAAAATGGGAATGCAAGTAAAAATGAGAGTGGATTGAAAATTTCAGTTTAAAATACAGTTCTTCAGTTGCACTAATTAACTAATTAGTGCCACTAATTAATTAGTGCCACTAATTAAATTAGCTAATTAATTTAAATAATTAGCTAATTAATTAAAATGGAATAAAATTTAAAGCACCATTCCTCAGTTGCACCAGCCTAATTTCAAGTGGACTCACAAACTCCATGCACTCTGAGCAGTGTCTGGTCTTCTCATCATTACTGACAGTCTCACATGCCTGGACCCAGGGGTCCTCCTGTACCCCGTGGTGGCCACCACAAGCTGAGAACAGCAGAGACTCAGAGCAAACTCCATCATGGGGGAAGGACAGGGAATTAAGCAGGCGACTGCGACGGCCAATCTTTGGCTCTTTTTTCCTAAGTCCTCACACTGTATGATTCACGCAAATAACCAGTGACCTTTTCAAATAGGATTTAAATGATAAACAGAAGCGCTCAAAGCCGTAGCAGATAGAAGGCAAGGAAATGAAAACGTCGCCATTTTCCTTCTTTAAATCTCCAGCATTATTATCTAGCGCCTGAATTAAATCCTTGCGATACACTTGCACATTTTGGCAGTAAATATTCATCTCAGGGGTTTTAAAAGATCAACAAACACATTTTGAAAATTCTTATCAAGCCAAAGCTTGCTAAGGACAGAAAAGCAAGGTTATCTGGGCTTGGGGGCTTTAATTAACAGTGCTTATGGGGAGGTAGATAGGCATTAAATCTGCAGTTCTTACAAAAGTAGCAAAAGTTAGTGTAATGGAATTGTTCCAGCACATCTAATAACAGAAAGGTGGTTGTATTTATTGAACACCTACTATGTGACTGGCACTTGGCCTACAATAGCTAACATTTCCCAACTACGTAGATGTGCACTGTTTCAGACACCTGATGTGGATTAAGCCATTCGATCTTCCAAACAATCTATTATTAGGTGCCTTATCATCCCCCCATATTTACACAAGCACAAAGAAGTGAAGTCGCTTGTTCCAGGCTACACAGCTAGTAGGCAGCAAAGTCAGTCACCCAAACCTAGGTCACCAGGCTCTGGAGTGATGCCAACATGTCACGCCAATACATACTAGCTAAGTTGTCTCACTGCACCTTCACTAGAGACGCTTCCAGTCACATGTTTCCAGTCAGGGTTCTCTAGAGGGACAGGACTAATAGGATAGATGTATATATAAAGGGGAGTTTATTAAGGAGAAGGCCAGGCACGGTGGCTCACACCTGTAATCCCAGCACTTTGGGAGGCCGAGGTGGGTGGATCATGAGGCCAAGAGATTGAGACCATTCTGGCCAACATGGTGAAACCCCATCTCTACTAAAAATACAAAACATTAGCCGAGTGTGGTGGCAGGTGCCTGTAATCCCAGCTACTTGGGAGGTTGAGGCAGGAGGATCGCTTAAACTTGGGAGGCAGAGGTTGCAGTGAGCTGAGAATGCACCACTGCACTCCAGCCTGGCGACAGAGTGGGACGCTGTCTCAAAACAAAAACAAAAACAAACATTAAGAATTGACTCACAGCATCACAAGGTAAAGTCCCACGATAGGCCGTCTGCAAGTTGAAAAGCAAGGAAACTAGTGGCGGATCAGTAGGAGTCCCAAAACCTCAAAAGGACGGAAGCCGACAGCACAGCCTTCAGTCTGTGGCCAAAGGCCCAAGAGTCCCTGGCAAACCACTGGTGTAAATCCAACAGTCCAAAAGCTGAAGAACTTGGAGTCTGATGTTCGAGGACAGGAAGCATCCAGCACAGGAGAAAGATGGGGGCTGGAAGACTCAGCCAATCTACCAGTCTAGTCCTTCCATGTTCATCTGCCTGCTTTTATCCTGGCCACGCTGGCAGCTGATTAGAGGGTGCCCATTCAGATGGAGGGTGTGTCTGCCTCTCCCAGTCCACTGACTCAAAGGTTAATCTCCTTTGGGGACACTCTCAAAGACACATCCAGGAACAATACTTTTTATCATTCAATCAAATGAGCTGACATTCAATATTAAGTTAAGCATCACATATACCATCATCTCGGAGGCCACTGAAAGGTGAAGGGCCTGTCCCAGGTCCCATGGCCAGCTGTGAGTCTGTGAGTCTGCACAGGGTTGGTCCAGGCCCAAGCCTGTTTCTCCAGTATGTCATGAGAGCAACCAAGCTGAGGGTTGGGAGGAGAAGGGGAGAACACCCATCCGACCCTCTCACACTCAGAAAACCCTTTGCAAAACCAGCTGGATGTTTTAGTTTATATTCAAAGTTATAGGATAGGAAAGTTATATCTTAAATACAGCACTGGGTTTCAGAACATCTGTGAAACAGCATTAAAAGAAAAGGGTAGAGGAGCTAAGTGTAAAATTCACATGTGATTCCTTAAGATCAGACCTGACAATCCAGTCCCTGGGAGGGCCCAGATTAGAGGGGAGGAAGAGGCCTGCTGTTTCCATAGAAGGAAGCTAAGGGGTTTCACTGGGACTGACAAAGACCAGGTGGTTGGCTGAACACATCTCTCAAGACACAATTGGGCCCAGTGTCCTCTGAGAACACAGTCATCAAGGTCAGCAGAGAGAATAAGGATCAGAGGAGAGGAACAGGATGAGGGGATGCCCCTCTGGAGTGCCACCCCAACCCCAGCCCTGCTGAAGAGCTCCCCCAGGCCCGGATGCCTCGGCTTTCCCTTGTGACTTTGCCCCTGCCTGCAGCAGTGCTCACTCTCACCTCTTCTCCTGGGGACTAAAGACCTACGGAGATCCAAGGCGATGTTAGTACATCTTCTGTCAGCACTCATCACTGCTTATTACACTTATACCACTTTTGAGGACTTTTCCTCTTCTCTAGTTTTTTGTTTTTCTTTCATTTAATTTTGGAGTAGGGAAGTCCTCCCATATTTACATAGAAGAAAAGACTGAATACATAAGAAATGTGAACGTCTGTGTAAACAGTGTCCACGGCTGCTTTCATGCTCCAATGGCACAGTCAAACAGATGGAAGTGTGATGGCATGGCTCTCAAAGCCTAAAATATTTATTATCTGATTCTTTCTAGAAAAAGGTTTTGGCTGGGCGTGATGGCTCACACCTGTAATCCCAGTACTTTGGGAGGCTGAGGTGGGTGGATCACGACGTCAGGAGTTTAAGACCTGCCTGGCTAACATGGTGAAACCTCGTCTCTACTAAAAATACAAAAATAAAAATAGCCAGGCATGGTGGCTCGCACCTATAATCCCAGCTACTCGGGGCGCTGAGGCAGAAGAATTGCTTGAACCCAGGAGGTGGAGGTTGTAGTGAGCTGAGATCACACCACTGCACTCTAGCCTGGGTAACAGAGCAAGACTCCATCTCAGAAAAAAAAAGAAAAAAGAAAAAAGAAAAAAAAATTGATTCCTGTGCTAACAGACTAAATGCCCTGAATGACAGTGCAAAATAAATGGCAAACCAAGCGTCTTTTCAGCCCAAGCCAGACGCCTGGCTAATATCCATAATAAATGCAAAGAGCTCTTGCAAAATGATTGTCACAAATGCACACAACACAAATTTTTAAAAATAGTAGATAAAAGGCAAATCAATATTGAAGAAATGCACATGACCAATAGACTACAAAGAGTATTTCTACTTCACTAATAATCAAAGTGACACAGGCAACAAAGATGTATCCTTTCTTACTCATGGGGATCTAAGATTAACACCAACAACCCACCCCTAGTTCATTCTTCATAGGACCATTTCCCACCCAGTGCAGCGAGCTCCCTGGCCACAGGCAGTGGGCACTATTCATTTTGGCTTTAGGATCACTGTAGGAGCTCAGAGTGGACCAGTGTCACAGCTATTTGCTCCCGTCATATCTCCAGCAAGGAGCCTGGGGTGGGAACTCCTTCCATGCCATGGAAGAGAATGGAACAGGCAGGAATCAAGAGGGTGAGGGTGGGCTGGGGTTGCCCTGCTCCCAAAGGATCCTGTGCTCCCATCTCACTGCCACTAGTCCCTTCCTGAGGAGCACCTCTCCTCCACCGCATGCTCTCCTTGTGGGATGGTAAACACACAGGCCTCCCTCCCACAACAGAAGCAAGGGCTCCCTAGAAGCTCCTCATGCTCCTGCGTTCTCAGGCAATGAGATTCCATCCTGGGCCTTGACTTCTGAGCAAATGAGCAAGGCTACAAGGAAGGGGGTGTTCTGCAATCCTGGGGCACTAGGTGGGGAGGGTCAGGGTCCAGACATTATATGGGTCTGCCTGCTAAGACCCTTGAGATCTCCTGGGTTCCTGTTTTTTCCCATCCAGGGTTCTAGGCCTTCAATTCAATCCTGTGGGGCACTCACAGCTTCCAAAGCAGGAGGGAAGCAACACCACACAATTCCATGTGCCGTCCCCCCGCCCCCACTCCCCTGGCAGAGGCCAAGCCCTCTGGAAAGTCCATCTCCCTCTCGCTGCCCAGACAAACCCTACTCATATTTCACAGCCCAGATGACCTGCCCCTGTCTTCTGGATGATGTCTTTGGGGTGATCCAACTCCCCCACCCTCTGCCAGCTTCTTCATTTTCTGGACCTCTCTGCTATCCCATCATGCTCCTGGCCTTAGTGGAAAGGCCTGCCTCTGAGGACGAGGTCCCCATTGCCATCTTGCAGGAGAGCTCACTCCAATGCCATGCCAGGCCGTCAGGCCTCCTGGGTCCACACCCTGCTCCTGGCAGGACTTCGGCCTCCTGTCTGCTTTGTCCTCCTGCTGTCTCCCTTACACTGTTTCAGTCGTGTCAGCTCCTGATATAGTCTGGATATTTGTCCCCTCCAAATCTCACCTTAAAATGTGATCCCCAGTGTTGGAGGTGGGGCCCTGTGGGAGGCATCTGGGTCATGGGGAGCAAATCCTCATGAATGGCTTGGCGCTGTCCTCAGGGTAATGAGTGAGTTCTCACTCTGCTAGATCTCAAGGGTTATCATTGTTAAAAAGAGCCCCTACGAATGTAGTTTTGA